ACCAGCTCTGGGACGCGCTCACCAAAGTCATGCTCCAGTCGCGCATCGCGTCGGTCGACGGCCAGCTCGAGAGCCACGTCGAAGAGAACGGCGAGAACTTTAGCGTCGGCGAGCGGCAAATGCTGTGCATGGCGCGGGCGCTGCTTCGGCAGGCGCGCATCGTGGTCATGGACGAAGCGACGGCCGCGATCGACCACGAGACAGACCAGAACCTCCAGCGCGTGATCCGGACCGCGTTTGCGGCCTCGACCGTCCTCACGATCGCCCATCGTCTCGACACGGTCTTGGACTGTGACCGCATCCTCGTGTTTGACCAAGGCCGACTCGTGCAGTGCGACACGCCGCAGCAGTTGATTGACGACGGCACCGGCATCTTTTACGAGCTCTGCCACGAAGGCGGGTACCTCGACAAGGTGCTCTCGTCGCCGTAAGATCGTCCGTTTTTGGTGCCACTTTTTAAAGACATTTTCATCAATTTCTCTATTTCTCTACGCTACGACGACTTCCTTGTCACCTTGTCGTACTTGGCTGCCGTCGTGCAATAGGAACGATGTGTCTTGACAGCTTTGCACAAGCCACACGCGGCGACATGCGACATGGACGCGGTTTTGAATTGCCGTTTGTTGATACACTGATAGAATCGGCAACACTAGAAAGTAAGAGCTTATAGCAGATGCTAGAAACGACGCCGAGGTTCCGACATTGATTCCGACATCTGTACGAGCCGGGGCTAACACGACACACCAAGTCCAGGCCGCTGTCGAGCTTCCTTAATTGCCCGCACTTGCCGCCCTCGATGAGGTTGGCGCTCGAACCAGCCGTCGTGGTGGACTCGATAGATTTGACGTTTACTCGCGTTAATCAACACCAGCTTCAATGCAGGGCGACTGACGCGTACGTGCACGGATATATTCGACAGCCTCGTGCATGGAGACGCCGGGACAAGCGTCAACCATTGCTCGGTCCAAAGCCCCTTGTTCTGCGCCTGGGCGGTGAGCTCGCTCCGTGAGGTCTTTGCAGGTCTGAAGGCGCTTCTTCAAAGACGGGACGGTGACGAGATCGGCGTCGAGCTTGCGTGGCAGCGACGTCTTCGGGCGGCCTGGCCGCGGTACAGCGTCGGAAGAGTGCTCGCCAATTCCGCGGTTGGCCGGGATGTCGGACGCGCTGCGAGGCATGGGAGATCAAAAGGCCCAAGCGATCGCGACTGGGTCTGGCCGTCGTGGTGGACTGCTGCGTCAACCTGACGCATCTCGAGTTGGATCCGACTGAGCAACGTACGCGATGGCTTGTCGAAATGCGATGCGGCGCAAAGTTGGTGTGGCCCAGGAAGAGGCACAAAGGCTCTGTGCGTATCGCCGTGCCCACGATCGTCCTCTCAACCCACGAGACCTCGACGTCTCGATGCATTGGAGCAAGACCACGTCTCCCGCGCTCTCGGCTTCCTCTCGACCAGTGGATTTTGAGAAAAAGAGGGTCAACATGTTGTCGACAGATCCATCCACGTTTGCTGGAAGCGTGCAACTTGCGAGGTCATCCGATGACGAGGTTGGACAACACGTTTGGGTTGCGTAGGAGCACTGCGTTATTCTATCGCACCGCGGTAAAGTCAATCGTGAGACTCGTTGTGGACATTTCGTGCTGGCGGTAGGCCACCTACATCACTGTGGTGAGTTTTCGGAAAACAGTTGGCTGGTACATGGGCCATATCGAGGAGCCGGCGCGACGCCTCAAACTTCCAGCTAGTATCGTCATGAGTTCCATTGACGGCAATGGGCTGTGGGTCAGAGAAGCGTACTCGTCCTTGTACTTGTCCGAGTAGTAGATGACTGCCTTGATGCCACTCTGTGCTTCCGGTGAGCTCGTTTCGACCAGTTTAGAATTGGTACCTGGATGATGAGCTTGGCGCATTCGTTGCAAGGGAAGAGGGCAACGTATATCTAATCGTCCATGATGGAAAGGTTGTCCAGCAGACAATCTTATTGGGGGTTGTACCGTGCAGCCGTGCACGCTCGAGGAATTTTTGTTGAGAATTGCGTTCATTTCCGCGTGGCAAACGTACTAGACAAATGCAGGTCGTCCCATGAGATAAAAAGCATGTGTGGAGAGAGGTGCAGTACGGGGTACTTGGTGTCGAGCGGCGACGCAGCGGCGCGCGCCCACGGCAGCTCGTCGTCGTCGCAGCCGTTGGGAAATCCGTTGTAGCCGATCCCGACAATCTTCTTTTCGCTGTTCACAATGCTACCATCGCAATGAGTACGAAGGCAGGAGAGCGCTGGGCATCTCGCACCAGGCGCCAACTTGGGTCGACGGATCTACTCACAGCCACGTCGTTAGTGCAAACATTCGATCCCCAATCGCACGACGACGACCTTTGGAACGCATCGCACTCAGAAAGGCGACGCTCATGAAATAGTCGTCCCAGGACAAGTAGTCGGTACGTTTCTGAAGCAGCTTGGTTTCGGGATTCGCCGCGCGCGCCTTCTTGGGCGCGTGGTGTTCGTCCTCGTGGGCGGCGGTCGCCGGGCGCTTCTTGGCACTCCTAGCGTCCAAGAACCATTGTAAATGGACGCTACGGTCCATGCAACAGCGTACGCAACTGCTGTTTTTTGCTCCAAAAGATACGCGGCCGTCGCGATCTTGTGCGTCCGGCGCATGCGGTGCACGTTGATCGCGTCGTCGAGCTTCTTGGCGCCGCCGTCAAAGATCACTTCGCTGCACACCGTGCACTTGGACGTCACGGCGCCGTCGTCAGAGACGCGCTCAAGCACCCAGAGCGACGGCGCCGAGAGCACCTTCCAGCGGTTCTCGACAGCGCACGGCGTGCGGTCCGTCTTGCCCGACGCCGCGAGCGACGCGAGGTGCACGGTCACGCGCGCCCAGTACGCCGGGCCGCGCAGGAGGTCGTCGGTCTCGTCCTCCGAAATGGTCAGCACGGCCTCGCAGAGCTGGTCGTCTTCGTCGTCGGCCCAGCGCTTCCCATGCCCCATCGGTCGTTGTCTGTTGTTGGTTGCTGCAGGCAATAAGCGTCGCCGTCTTTTTGGCCAATCCACAACCACGGTTTTGCATACCCACCAGTGATTGGCTCGCTCGATGTACCAACGGCAATCTCAATTCCTCCCCAAGCGGTGAAGGCGACTCGTAGGCAAGAAGCTCCGAGGCCTCTGACTCGGTTGCAGGGACCCTGCGTGGCGCTGGCACGCCGCGCCGACGCACAATATGTACGCGTTGGTAGACCTATTCTACAAGAACGTAGATGTGCTTCCAAGGCATCTATTCTATAAGAACTTAAATGGGCTTGGAAGGGACATGGCGTGTGCTTTGCGCGTGTACTGAGAGCAAGTCAATAAGTGCATGGCGCAAATCATTGTCGACTACGCTCTCAAGCTGGCTGCTTGTACGAGAAAAGAAAACGAAAAGTGGCGTGGTTGCTCCATCCAGAGTGGGGTCGTCGTATCTGCCAGAGGTGCGAGACGGAGACGCTTTCGTTTACCGAGAAGCTATTGCTGACGGCGCAGTGTCATTGCATCCAACGTGGCTGTTTGCATTGGATAACCTCCTCGAACGCCACCAATGCTTGCAAGGACATGGGCGACGACGAGCGCAAAATTTGGCGTTTGGACGACAGCGGCTCGTCATTCTATACTGCACTCGGCAACGTTTCTCGCTCGTTCAATGCGTCAAAGATGTGTATATCTGCAATTAAGAAGCCAAACTATCGAATGCCTGGGAGGTTTCTTCAACAGCTGTTGCACGACGGCCCCTCCCATGTCCTGCTACATTTCCAGCCTCATTTCCAGTCATGGAAACAACGGCAATGGTTAGCCCAGTACATGCAATCAAGTCGCGGCATTCTATATTTCCTTTCACAATTTGACCCGCTTTGGCACAAACCAGCGGATTTTTGTCATCAATGGTGCACAACAGGCCTTAGATGACGATTAGAGGGGGCAATGACTAATAGCTGTTATAATGCACTACGCCTTGGGAGTTTACCTTGGGTGACGCAGCAGTCTACACGATCAAAGCGTCTTCTTGGCGCGAAACAATCGACTGAATTTCGGTTCAAAGATACTCCTTTGTATCGACCAATCAACGGCCACTTCAACGAAGTCGGTCTGAGTTTGGATCGTTGAACTTGGTCAGAAGAGTAAAAACTGATGCGCTGATGCAAGCGTCGTCGGTGCAGCTCCACTGCATCGACGAAAAGCAAAGGTGACGGTTGCTCCATATGTGGTAGAAGCACCACGGACGGGCATGCCACCCTGCAATCAGATTTGAAATGACGCTCTCGTACGATGGTCTGGCCACGCTCCAGGCGCAGACGAGCCTCCTCCTCACATTTGATGACAACATGCCCAGCTACGTGCTTGGCTCTCGCCATAGCCGCCCAGCGTGCGCCGATGCAGACACGGGCGCTGCCGTCCTCGTCCAGCTCCATCCCGTTCACGCACGAGCAGAGTCGAGATTGCACTTTGGTGACCTCATCTACATCACGACAACGTCACCAGGCGGAGTCCATGTCTTGTCGACGGCGGCGATGACAAGTCGCCTCCACTGGTCATCAAGAGGTGGCTTCCGGAAGCGTAACCTCTTTCGCCTCGCGCCAAACGATGTGTCGCTCGATGGTGCCATCCAAATGCACGATCAGTTCCACTTGCACAGCGTGCGCTGGCCATCGCACGTGGTGGGCTTCGATGCCAGACGGTCCGAACTCGTGCTGCAAAAGAAGCGCCCCGTCGCCTTCTCCGCCCTCGACGCGGCCACATACGCTGTGCGATTGGCCAAGCTGTACCGCCGCCGTCAGCTTCGTCGTGTGGCCGTGCCTGTCGTCTATGTCGCCCTTGGGGCATCGCATCAAGAAGAAGAGACAAAGGGCAATATTGTTCTTGCATTTCTGATATCGGACTCGGTGCGAGCGAAATAATGCAGTAAATTCTTGTACCATATTGGTGTTCCAGCAGTTTGCAGATTTCATCGCTGGCAACGCGTGAACGAAACCAAGGCTATCTGGACGCGCAACAAGGTAGAAATCGAGGACGTTGAGTACCAAAACGTCTTCTAGACCGTCGGCAACTGGAGCCAAGGAAGGCTAATGGACACGTATGTATTGGCTGCTGGTTGTGACGAACGAACAGTCGGGCCATCCGGCATATCCATCGACAATGGTCCATCGATCTCGTTTGCAAATTCCAGTAGCGCCCAAATGAGTACTAGTAGAGCCCAAATGAGTAGAGCTGCGGCGCCACTGTATTTGTACGTACCTTGTACCGATCCCAACGACGTTGCTGTCCACGCCATGATAGTTCGACGCTTTTACTTCGGCCATCGCATCGCCCGTTGGCTTTACTACTCCAAGAATTCCATCAGTCCATTGGTCATCCCTGATGACCATGTTCACCATGCCGTGTGTCCTCGCCTTTTCGTCGGCAGTGTCGAGCGTTTCGTATTGTGTGATAGAGAGTATTCGATGTTCCACGTATGGTGGCGAACAAGTCGTCACGAAGCGCTCAGAAGAAGTCGGAGATAGCTCCGTGTGTATATGAACTCATCGGCGTCGTTTGGTTCCGCGTCCGTCATGTGGTTGTAGAAGATCGACGTGATAACCGAGCGCCCAGACGTCCTTCGTCGCCGGATGGCCAGCGCCAAGTTCGAACGGACAAGACAACGAGGCACTGCACGTGCTCGACGCATCACAAGCGCCTGAGATCCGGATACTAGAGGCACCGCGGTGCTATGTTGCGTCGGCGGCCTTTACGTCAAGTCGTATGCCAAGATATCTAAACGACAAAGGCGATATATAAGTATCTTCAGATCTTGTTGACGTGACGCGGCGCCGCTCGATCGGTACGCGCGCGCGGTCATCGGTCGATCCTCATCGGTCGCCAACCTTTGGTGAATTTCGACCACATGTGGCCGGTAACATCTGTCTGGTACGTTTACCAGCTGTATCTCATTTTACGGGATGGCACTCCCCTTCGCATGGCGTGCATGAGCGAGCCAATGCAATGGGTACGATCGAATCCCCGTCAACGCTGCCTCCAACGTGCTCCCGTACGAGTACCTGCTTTTACGCTCGGCGCCAAGTGAAAAAGAGACGTGTATGAGAAATGCGGTCTCCAGTCGTGCATTGCGTTCAGTGGTACTGCCATGGCGTCAAAAGTTGGGCGACCGACTGAATTCTAACAGTGAACTCTGCGGGCCACTCGTCTCGCCTTCGAATCGGTGTTACATATTCCAGCAATAATAAAAACGTCGGACAGGCACCTGAGACGCGCAATGCCAACTGTTGCGACCTATAAACTCTGACGCGTACAGTTCGAGTCGATGTTTGCTCTATCTTCCGAGACACATGGGACACCTTCGCACCTTGGAGACGTATCGGTCCAGTGCCATTTCACAATATTATGTCGCCGCCACAACACGCCCACAGCATGCAGCTCTCGTCGAACATCGAGACGGCGACGCCGTTCGTCTTGAATTTTGAGTTGACCAATACACAGTCGGCCATGCTCGTGCACGACGACCACAAGCGGCACGCAGCCATTGCAGAAGCGCGCTTCCTCCTCAACGGGGCCGAGTACATTGAGTTTGAGCTCGCGTCCAGTAAGCCCCGCGCAGCGTCCTCGCCCTTGTATTTTGGCGCCGTTGTGCACGTCGTTTCCAAGGCGCACGGCCAGAAACGGTACCTCTGCGGATCGTCGTTTCGCCGAGGCTTGCGCTGGTCGTCCTCAAGGTCCTCGAAAGGCCTCTTTCGCTTCGTGTCCCAAGACCACCTCGGCGGCCCGCTCCAGATCCAGGACGATTTTTGCCTCCAGAGCGTCAAATGGCCGAGCTTCTATGCGAGCTTTCAACAACGGAGCTCGACGCACGCGCTCGGTCGACTCGTGCTGAAGCGCAGCATGGAACACGCCGTGGCCTTCTCCGCGCTCAACGCGATGCACCGGGAGTTTATGCTCTCGAGCCTTCGCCACCCTATCCCGCGCGACATCCCGACGGTCTACGTCTCGGAACACTCGTTCGACACGGACATTGAGCTCGACGACGAGAGCTCGGACGTCGGCGAAGCGATTTTTGTTTTGAATACCGTGCCCACCACTGGAAGTGTGCAATATTCGTCGGGACGACGAGGCACGTCGGACGAAGCACTGCCGGTCGCCTACCGCGCCGACTGGCAGCGCCACTCGGCCCCACCTTGTGCAGTGCGTGATCTTATTGCCGTTCTAATATTATTCTGTTTCTTATTGCATTTACACTGGGATACGCTGGATTGTTTGTCCCCATTTCGCGCCTCGGCGACGGCCTGCATACGTCAACGACACCCAATATGGATCAGAAACGCGCCCTGCGAAGCATGTCTGTGCGGCGCTGTCGCGTGCCGTGAGTCAGGATAGGGCATCGCGGTTGCGTCGATGACAACAAGCCCGTGCACGTTGTTGGTCATGCAATGCGTCGTTAGGAATGACGTTAACGACTCGTTGCGTCGCTCTGGCCACCGTGTATATATCTCGCGAAATGGGTACAAACACATTGCAGCAACAATCCGCTGCGTCAACGAGCGTTCAAAATGCCAAGTAGCGTGATGAGCGGCCAGTGACGAGGGGCCCCCGATGAGCCAACCAAGCCAATATCGTAGGGCAACTCTATAGCAAGGGTACATTTTGATGTACCCTTGATTATACCCTCTGACCAGAACCATAAAAAAGCCACGCATGAGAGCACGTGGTCGAGTGTGCACACACCGTGCACGACCCACAACGTACCCAGGCCCGCTTTTCATAGACGGTACGGCCGACAAAGTCGTAGGGCGTCGAGCTGCGGGCATCGTGCTCTATGAACCAATGTGTGAAGAACGCAACTCCACACATTCGTTCGCCAACTCGGAAGATCTCGACTCTTCGTTGGTTTTGGCCGTTGGATCCACCCGACGCTTGGATCCGAGTGGTTTTCACCAGCCCTCGCGGCGGTTTCCACTCACGAGGATGGTTGTTTTTCCTTTCCCCAGGGGAAGGTTTTTACCACTCGTTCTCACCATGTCAGTCTCCGTAATATCAATACATTCCGGAGCAGGTCGTGAGGAGCCCTCGTGGCCTCGCTTTCTTTTCCACTGCCTGCCTCTCGGACACACTCCTCTGCGGGTGTGCGGATCTGGTTCTTTCTCTTCTTTCTCTCTGCCGAGTGCTTCACTAGCCCAGCAGCTAGTTTGTTATTTATTTATGTGGCGAATGGGAAGTCGCGCTCTTCGTGCACTGCTCGAAATCCCGCCAGTACGAGTCGTCGATTCAGCGCGCCAATGCATCCCGCATTGAGGAGACGACTCGAGCGATGACAACGACTTCGACGAGACACATATGTAGGAGGATGAACGTTTGTTGTTGTTGAAGTGGGTCGTCTATTACAATAGATAAAACAGGATGAACGTCTGTTTAAGTGTATAAGCGTGCACGAAGAAAATCATGTCGAGTCTAGTCTTCATCGTCGAACCGGAATTTGGACCGCACAAGGTTGTCGGTGTCGTATCCGCAGTGACGGTACAAGTTGATACCAGCAGTGACGTTCGTTTGACGTGCGTCCAAGCAGCGTACGAGAGCGACTTCAAGAGTTCGTTCCATGTCGAACCGGAATGCCAAAGGTACGCGAGCAATGTACTTCTTGAGGTAGGCAAAAGCGACCTCAATCGGGTTGAGTTGGGGCGAGTACGGAGGCAGATAGAAGAGGAGTGCGCCCATCGAGTGAACAGCCTCCTCGAGCTCCGCATACATATGATTGCGGGCGTTGTCGAGAATCAAAATGGACCTTGGAAGCGGCCACGGGTTGAGGTACGGGATGACCTTGGCCATCATGGCTGCATGGAACCGGGCGCGATCGAATGTGCCGGTGGTAAACTCCCAGCCGAAGAAACCATTCCAGTCCATAGCAGCGATTACCGAGACGGGCTCCCCGCGGCTGAATGGGAGCTCGACGATGGCGGGAGTACCGCGCATAGACCACGCATAGCGCCGAAGAGCGTCCCGTCCGTCTCTCGACGTCTCGTCGACAAAGACCAATTGGCTCGGGTGTTTGTAGAACGGCTCGAGGCGGGCGTAATACAAGTTGACTTCATGTGCAGAGCTCTCACGGGCTCTCTTTGCAAGTACTTTGCGGGTCAAATTCAAGGTGAAATGAAGCGCGCGGCAAATCGTCGCTGACGACACGTTAGTGACCTCTGGGAAACTCTCTTGCATCGCTTCTTTAAGCTCTTCGAGATAGAAGCATGGGTGTTCCTCGGCGTAGGACGAAGTTGAGCACGTGTTGTGGCCACTTGACACCCATGCGTCGACGACCTGCGTCGAGAACGTTGCCGCAGCTCTTGAACAGACTGATCCAACGTCGCAGTGACCGCTCAGATACTCCGAGGATCTTCGCGACGAGGGGAACAGAGATGCCGTAGACGTTGTGCAGCACAATCCCGCGCCAGCGGAGGTCGGGGCTTGCAACCATGGGACAATGCGTTGGTGTCGTCTATGTCTGTACAGCTTGATGTTTGTATGCTGAGCCGATTTGCGAGTTAACTGCGCTGTATTCATGTACTGTAGTGCATGGAGCTGTACGACAGTTCATTGAAAGGTAATAGAAGAAAATGAACGAAGAAGCACACCCTTTCAATGTTGTCCGGTGGAGGTTTGTCAAAGCAGAGGCAGTTTTTGTTCCTGGCGTGCTACATATCATAGGTAGCGATTTCACCACCCCAGGCAAAAACAAACAGCCATTCGATCCCATTTTTCTCCTTAAAGTTGAAACACTATATCGTCATCAAGATGTGCGCATTCCAGAGCTCTAGCCGTCCATTGCGTTGTGCCGAACGTTCGTTTTTGGCGCGTTCCTACCGCTCTGAAAGTCATTAGCCCCCGTGTAAAATGCCATGTGTAAACACCCCATCGAGTCGTGCTTTATCGAAAAGTAGGGTTTCCGTGCTGCTCGTCTCAGTAGTCAAAGTCCTCGTAATCACTGTCCTCGCCTTCGTCTTCTATCTCATCGTCCGAGTTGTACTCGAGGTCCGAGTCGATTTCGGCATTGCGCACATCCAGGTCCTCGGGCAAATCCTCAGTCGCAGGGTTGATCAGCGACGCGTACCGCTTCCACCCGGCGAGGGCACCCGTAAACCCAGCAGCGTTGTAAATGTCTTGGGCTGCGCGGACAAAGCCGGCACTCAGCGCGCGCGCGATCGCAAGGTTGCATCTGTGCTTGGTCTCATCGCGGCCCACGAGCAGCGCCAGCGTCGCATACTTGTAGTTGCAAGCCGCCTTGTAGATGCCCTGGTACGTGAACGAGGCACCATTCGCCAGGAGGTACGAGGCAATCTCCTCGAAGCCTTGCCCGGCCGCGCGGTCGGTCGCCTCATCCGTACACGGCTCGTTGAACACTTCGTGGTGCTGGCGCACCCAGTCAAACTCACCCCACTGCGCCGCCCACGCCATCGCGCGGTGGCTGCGAAAGCCACGTGCATAGTGGTCCCACACAATGTCTTCTTGGCCGTGGCCCGCCGCGGCCTCGAGCGTTGTCTGCGAGAGAAGCTCGGGGCGGACGCCGACCAAGAAGGTATAGAGGTCTTCGTCAATGTTCCAGAGCGCGTCTTCGAGGGCGCGCGACGTGCAGCCTTCGCTCGGACGATGCGCTTGGAGAAAATGAACAATCTCCACGCGGTCTTTGCGAAGGGCCGCGTTCATGGGCTTGGTGCCCGCGGTTCCGACTGGGACGAGCCCATGCAGGTACTGAACGATGTGCAAATGGCCGTGGCGCGCGGCTTCGGTCATCGCCTTGACGAGGTGACTTGCGTCGTGATAGTGAGTGCACAAGAACGTCACGACTGGAAGCGATCCGATAGCCGCGCCTCCCATGAGAGCGGCCTCCGAGCAGCCCTCGGCGCGGTGCCGGTGCAAAAACTGCAGCACATCGAGCTGGTCGGAGCCTGCCGCGGCGTCCATCACGCGCGTTGTGCACGGCACAGACACGGCGGCTCGTAGAAAGCGCAAGTCGCCGACCGTCGCCGCCTCGATGAGCGACGTTTCCGTAAAGCCATACCCCCGCGCGTCTTCAAGAAAGGCGAGGATCGCGGCCCCGTTCGGCTGTTTGGTTCGCTGCTTGTACGCAACGTCAAACCCGTGATGGGAGCAGCCTTCGTCGCGGGCCAGGTGCAGCCACGCAACGACCTTGAGGTGGCCGTTCGCGATCGCGTCGTCCATCGCATGCGTCGTGCAGTGATTGTTGCCGGCGGCATGGAGGCACATGAGAACGTCGAGGTACCCGCGACTTGCGGCATAGTCCATGAGCAGCTCCTTGCTGTCCGGCGCGTCACGCAGACGTGCGAGTTCGACGCCGTAGTCGTCGCCCAAAGCGTAGAGCAGCTCTGCGGATCCATTGTAGGCTGCGGCGTGGGCGAGCGCGATCGGCCGATCCAAGAACGGCGTCACGGCAAAGTCCCAGCAGTTGCGCAAGCCAACGTCGTCGAGGCTACTCGGCTGAATGTCGAACGACATGTTGCGCCGCCGGGCTTCTCGGCCGTTGGTGTCGTACCCGTCGCGAAAACCGTGGACGAGGGTGACGGAGTGCCCGATGGCCGCTTGGTACCGCTCGTACATGGGAAGCGTCCGAATATGCTCGAACGATCGACTCGAGCGGTCGCGCTCACGGCTCGGGCCGCCGCCGGGTAGTGTCGCAAGGTCGCCGGGCCAGTCCATCGCGTAGGCGTCTGCGTACACAGCTTCGATGTCGGCGTTCGAGTGACGCGATTGCGCGTTGGCCCAAATGCCGCGGTCCAAGAGGTAGAGCGAGAGCGGCCCTGCAAAGTCCAAGATGCGCGTCGAGAGCACCTGGTCGAGGCCATCGATGCGTGCGAGTAGGTCCCTCATCTAGGACGTGAATACTAAAATGAAAAAGGGTCGAAGTATGCTCTATTCCTTGTGGCAGCGCAGATGGCAACGAAGGCCATCTGTCCTTGTGTGTAGCTCGGCCGGTACTAGCGTTGTATCAGCACGAAAAATCTTCTCCGAAGGGATACCGGCAGCTGGGATACCGGTATGTCGATGCGAATGCAAACGTTCTCCCTCTTCAACAAAATATCTGAAAAATGGAAATGAAGGTGGGGGCCTGTGGCCATTTCGCGGTCGAGAGAGGTCGAATCAGCTGCGTCCCGGAAGTTTCCGCTAGTTTCTTTTCGTTACTATAGACCAGCAGTATTGGAAATCGCATAAAAAGGTCGACTCTCTTGACCGATGCCGCGAGGGTTGCTTGGTTACGACGACCCTACTATTGCAGTTGACTGCGTGCTGATGAGGAGCAAGGGCTACCTCACGTTTACTGTAGTACTTGTTTGTGCTGCACGTACTAATATTTCGTGTGAAGGATTTCGCAAATGATGACCGTATGTTTATGGATACTGCTGTCCCTCAATCCAACTCTACGGAGCTTCATTCCCATGCCATTTCGGATAGAGGCGCTTGCAGCACCAGGAATAGACGCACACCACGACGTGGCTTGGCAAGCATTGATGAAAGCCGTGCGTACAAAGTACAATTGTGTACGTGGGCGGTCTGAAGCGGTGTCGCATCAGTGTTGCGTGACGGCTGGTCTACAGTAAGCCGAGTACTGTCACAAATCGCAGCAGGTACACGTTTGCATGCAAGTAACAAACTGGCTTGCGCCCCTCTCTCTACTTGTGTGCCTTTGTATACTCGAGTGTGGATATCTACACCTCGTATATCATTTCACAACGTCTGACGGGACCATTTCCAAGTGTTCTCTATTCTCGATAATGATGGACCTTCTCGCGCGTCGATGGCCTCGACGATCTCTGGACGCGCATTTTGGACTTTGCGGGACTCTACCTCTTACGTCGCGGCCGGTGAGGCGGCGCCTACATGTGACACCACGACGAGAAGCAAGCCGCGTACGCCATGAACTGGCTGGCCGACCTTGCAACACTTGCGGACAGTGGCCCGGAGTATGCAGGCGGCCGCTGGAACCGTTAGCACATCCGACGCTCGACAAGTAACAAGTCCTCGTCGGCAGCTCCCGTTGATCAGCAACCGGCTTTTGTACATCGTACGACGGCGACCTCCCTCGACACCGAGTTCTTTGCGTTGGAGCGCCAGCAGGTCGTAGAGACTTCAAAGAGGTTCTGGGTCGAGGCCGCCCACGAACCCAATTCCTTTATCGATACTCGTATCGCTTCGATGTAGGTAGGTAGGTTTTTGTTGACATGTCCATGCACTTTAAGCCAAGATTACGGCGCTGTACGAAGCCAACGACGCAGAAGTTCACGAGGCCATCGACAAGGTTACAGGTTCGAACGACAGTGCGTCATGGTAACATCTTTAATAGTCACTATCCCCAGAGCTGTACCCACCGCCGCACTCGGTGTCGCGCCATCCACTAAACGCCGGGCGCAAGTCGTCACGGTTCGGGTCAACCAAGTGCGCGTACTGCCCCCACTCGGTGTAGAGGTCGCCCGTGCAAGCTGCAGCCTCGTAAATGGCCTCAGCAGCGGCCGTATACTCGCCGCCCACGAGAGCGCGAGCGATCGCGAGGTTGCACTTGTGCTTGGTCGTGTCGTGGGCAACCAGCAGCGCCAGTGTATCGGACTTGCTTTGGCGCGCCGCCAAAAGATGCCTTGGTATGTAAAGGACGCACCGGCCTCAAGCAAGAACTGAACGATAGTGAAGTGACCTTGGCCGGCCGCGCGGTCCGTCGCTGCGTCCGTGTACGACTCGTTGTAGACCTCGTGGAGCTTGCGCATCCAGTCCAGCTTGCCATGGTGCGCAGCCCACGCCATGACGTTCGGGTTGCGAACGATCTCGTCGCCTTCGTACAAGTCCATGACCGCGTCTTCTTCGCCGAGGCTCGCAAAGCACTCGACGATGACAGGGATGATCTCGGGCTGGGCCGTCATGAAGGGCTCCAAGAACTCGTTCATGTCGAATACGTCGAGTGCGTCTTCGAACCCGCGCACGGAGCAGCCTTCGCTTGGACGGTGCGTCAGAAGAAAACGAATGGCGGCGCGGTTGCAATGGAGGAGGGCCGCGTCCATGGGCTCCGTCCCCGCGGCGCCGATCGGCAATAGTGCGTGCAAGACCTCCATCGACTCCATCGGGCCGTAGCGAGCCACTTCCGTCATAGCCTTGACAAGGTTCTCGACGCTGCGACAAAGCGCGTTCACAGGCACACCCTCCGCATTGGTATCAGTGACGGCCTTGAGGAAGCGCACGTCGCCAGTGCGCGCAGCGATCACAAGCGCCTCGTCCGTGAAGCCGCCGTACCCGCACGCGGCTTCGAGCAATGCAAAGATCGCGGCCCTGTCCGGCCCGTCTTCCCACTTTTGGTACGCGGTGTCAAACCCGTCTGGCGAGCAGCCTTCGTCGCGCGCCGCGTGCAGCCACTGAACGATTTCGAGATTGCCGTTTGTGATGGCGCTGTCCATGGCGCGCGTCGTGCAGTGCTTGTTGCCGGCGGCATGGAGGCACTTGAGAACATCGAGGTACCCGCGACTTGCTGCATGGTCGAAGAGAAGCGTCTTGCCGTCCGGTGCATCGCGCAGACGTGCGAGGTCAACGCCGCAGTCGCTGCCTAATTTGTATAGCAGAGCTGCGTGGCCATTGTAGGCTGCGGCGTGGGCGAGCGCGATCGGCCGATCCAAGAACGGCGTCACGGCAAAGTCCCAGCAGTTGCGCAGGCCAACGTCGTCGAGGCTGTTGGGCGGAATGTCGAACGGGACGTCATCGCGGCAGCCATTCGTGTCGTATCCATCGCGAAAGCCACAGGTCGACAAGACGGCGCCGCCGACGATGGCTTGATACCGCTCGTACATACCGAGCGTCCGAATGTGCTCAAAAGATCGACTCACGCGGTCGCGCTCACGGCTCGGGCCGCGACCCGGTAGCGTCGCGAGGTCACCTTCCCAGTCCATCGCGTACGCGTCGGCGTACACGGCTTCCATTTGGCTATGTAGCACGAAGAAAGAGGATGTCCATGCGCCGCGGCCCAAGAGGTACTGCGACAACGGGCCCGCAAAGTCAAAAATGCACCTTGAGAGAGTCTCGCCGAGACCGTCGATGCGCCCAAGCAGGTCAGACATGGCTTCAACGTGAGAATTTGAAAATGACCAAATCACAAATCACAAATGCCCGTGTCGCGCGGTTGTTGGAGCGGGCAGATTAGTTGTTGGCAACAACCCCAAACATCTTTTATTTTTTGTAATCAGGTGCGTTTATGGCGGTCCCGTGCGGGGTGAGCTGGCAGGAAGGTTTGAATGCGAAGCATTGTTTACCGGTCTTTGCGACAACGGCGCGTTGGCCTACTACTAAGTCACCAAGTACACAAAAATCAAGTCAAGAAGGGAGCGTCTTGGTAGGTTTCGCCGCCTATGATGGCCCATCACTGCACCACCTTTTGTCACTCGACGTGTGGGTTTTGCACGCGTCACCTCAAGGGAGTAGCAGCTAGCCGGTACATCAACCGGCTCAAGTAGCCGGCTAGATTTACCGGCCAACCCAGCCGGTTAGCCGAGCCAGACCTTGTTGCTGGTGACCTGACATGTGAGGTACTAGTATTCTGTAGAGTGGCGTTGTGCGCTCCATTAAACGATGGAGGAGGCTACAATGCACGCGCGTACTACCGCGTTGCATGGCCCTCGGCGCCATCAATCTCGCGGGACCCCACATGTGCTGGAATACCATGTTCCTGCTAGCTACGGACGGTCCCACTTCCTTTCTCCCCTTGACTGCGCTCCAATCTATACTAGAGTCGTCCGACAAAAGATAGAGGTCGCCGGTGCTGCAGCGTCCGTGGCTTCGGAGGACTCTGTTGTTGTTGAATTGGGTCCTCTATTACAATAGATAAAACTATGCTAAATAAAATTGTCGGACTTTCTTCGTTGTGTGTACTCGGTTGAGGGACTTGATTTAGGCAGGCGGAGGCAGAAGCGCAATCCGCGGGACGAGGTGACGTCGCGGCCACTCGTGTTGGGCGAGGAGCCGGAGAAGCCGACGAAGAGCAGGCTGTTCGGGCTCTTGTACGAGGCTGTGGTGCAAGTGCAGTTGAGCGACGCGTGCCGCCTTGACGGCAATCGTCCATGGACTTGGCAGCGGTAGGTCGGCGCGAAAAGACGCGATCGTTCCGGACTCGCCAGACGTTGAACCAGACGCAGGCGCGGAGCACGGGCCAGAGGTAGCGGAACGCGGGCTTTGGGTGCCAATGTCG